AAATGACGTTTCCAACAATCCCGAATTCAAATATACAGAAGACTTTGTGGAGGAACTTGTCCTCTGGTTGAACTCATGACACCAAGGATGTACTTGTCCTCTGTTTCAACTTGTGGCCCAGACGATACATAATTATGCATGACTAATCGTCACAAGCGTACGATGTAGGCAGAAGTATAACCCAGTTTGTCATTCATTTCTTTTCCTGTGTACTATGACTAGAGTGAGCCTTTATTTTATGGAAAGCCCCTCAAAGCAAGTACTGTTGGCTCTCTGTTCTTTAACAACTTGTCCTTTCTTACGACTGTACTTGTTAATTGTTCCCTGTTATATGATTTCGTCTTTGAAACTGTTGATCCTTTGTACTAATACATATCAAACCCTGATGAAAGTGTGCTCGGCATCGATTTATTTGGCAGTGACTTGCTGTTGCTTGCTGAGTTCGATCCTTCTGCGCAGAAGCCTAATAAACGTACATAGACAAGTCTCATTTGTTTGTTCCCTTCATTGACAGATTTCCATCACATATGTTTACGTCGGTGTGTCTTTCATTTATTTATCTTATGAAAGGTTGTGTTGGCTACCTGCTCTGTTCTGTACAGCACTGCGGTCAACGTGGGTTGTTTTTAAATGTGCTTTATAAATAAATGTGATTGATTGTTTGATTATTATTTACACCCAGATTATATAATGGTCTGTTGTGCATCAGTATGGGAGATATATGCAAAATGTTGTCTCCTCTTATGGGCTTTAATGCACTGACACTGTGTATGACCTTGCAGCTGCCTCTTCTGAGATAGGAGAAGGCAGGGCATAATTCAAGTTGTTGATACAGATGAGAGGACACTTCTTGTCTCCTCACTTCTTTGAGGGGCAAAGAGCAACAGTGGTGCGAAGGAAGTACGTGACTTTCCAGAGGTGTCCCTACACCTTCCCGACACCTGCTGACGCCAAACCGATTTACGACTTTGTTGTTACCTCCTCACTTTAGACCACATGTGTCAAACTCAAGGCCCGGGGTCCAAATCAGGCCCTTGGTGGATTTAATTTCGGTCCGCAGGATCATTTCTAATTACTATTAGATCTGGCCCGCCGGTATATTGCACGCTGCACGATATTGAAAAAAACTGACATTGCAATATTTTCTTCCCCTCGGTTATCCTGCTGTGATCTGATCAAGAATGGTTGTGATTGGTGGTTTGCTGTGCATGCAGAGCCTGCATGTCACGCACTCAAGTACCCCTGACATGAGAGCCACGCGAGTTTTCCTTTTGTAGCAAGCAGCAAAATAACGCGATTATCGTCACGACACGATATATCGTGCAGCCCTATTGCACGCACACCTTCACTCAATCCTGAGGGTCTCCTCAGCTCAGAGCCTGACCCCAAACATTGATGAACTTGCACCTAAGATGAGATGCCAAGTATCTGGCTTGAACTAGCATCACAGAGCAGCACACTGAGTTTACATGGATGTTTCCTTCTGCACTTGTTTTCTTGCGACAACAGGGCATGTTTGGTTTGTTCTTTGAGGGAAATAGTTTTTTTGAAGCTGTTGTTGGCCTGTGGAAAAATGTAATCATAAGAAATGACTCTGGAAAAGCTGCAGAGAGAGCCATAAGAAATGAATGCAACTGATTATTTAATGTTTGTTTTTATAGGCAATAATTTAAGCTTTGTTAGTTCCAGGTTTAATATGGGCAATAAGTTAATTTCAATAACTTTTGCAATAAACATTGAACTGGTTCGACTAGTACCCATTTTTTTAATTTTGGCCCATTGTGTATTTGAGTTTAACACCCCTGCTTTAGACTATATAAGCTTAATGTTGTTTCCTGCTCCCTTGAGCAGCATACCTCATGTGTGTGAGTTGAACCATATCCTTTGTATGTGACTTAACTCTGCTCCTTCTTGCAAGAATAAATTAGTACCTGACTATTGATTCTCATCCCGGTGTCGAGTGATATTTTCCTAACATAATTGGTCCTTCGAGCCGGATCCAAGACCTCCTTTCTTCTCCGGATAACGAGCCCTGTACACAAAATATTGTTATTTTTCAGTCAGCAGCATATAGTTTTGTGCAGCACAAGTAGATTTTGCACTGGAAAAAGTCTTCAATACATCTGTGGTAAATGTAGTTTTGGATATTAAAATAAAGAATTAAACTTGTGTAAATTGAATCTGAAGTTTTAAACCTCATCCTACTAACCGGGGCCCACACACATTACCAAATCTATATATGTGTGTCATATCTCACAGGAGCTTTATACTGTCACTTACATTTTTCATGACCTTTTTCAATCATATTCTTCCTGATGGCTTCATATTATCATTCTCTGTTTTTGTTTAATTAGAGTATTTTTTATTAGTACCAGAAGTTAAACCAATGTTTTGGTGTCCTGGAGGACCCCAGTCAAAAGTATCCAGTTGCTATGTAATTTATTTATATTTTGAAGACAGATGCAGCAGAGACACATTTCCTCCTGTGCTCTTAGAAATGTTTTTAAATTAAAGGTAGGGTAGGTAAGAATGGAGAAACCAGCTCGAGTAAACTAGAATTTGAAAGTACACAACCGAAGATAATCTGCCCCTTCCTTCAGACTTCCTTATAGAGCCCCTCCTCCAACACACACGAACGCGCACATGAACAATGAGGGCACGAGATAAGTTTGTGCACGAGATGGAAGGCTGACAGGCAGGTAGGCCATCCAGTTATTTTAGCCGGGCCGGCTCAGATGATTGGTCGTGCTTTTTACAGTACCACGGCTTCCACAGATTAAATATTTGTATATATTTATTGTCAAAGCATTTAATGTATTCATTGCTATCGGGATGTTAAGAGCATTCCATGGAATATAACAAAATGTGTTTCTGAAGTGAATTACCTACCCCACCTTTAATGAACAGTTTGCCTACAATGATGTAGTGTGCTTCTGGTGACTTCAACTACATTCTTGCAGAATACGTTGATATTCTGCAGGACAGACCCGCAGAAACTACAACAACAAACGGAGAGCCACTCTGATCAACTTTTACGACGAGGGTTTACGACTCTTAAACTTTCCTGAGACCCTGATAAGGGACCAGACCCCTAATCACAGTCCTGTACGGGGACTGTTGGAGGGTTTACAGCTTCAAACCCCCATTTCCCTGCTTCCCCTTTTGTCCTCTTATCAGCATTGATGGTGTGTATTTTACTGATTTACTATTCAAGGAGATAAACAAATCCATGTGTAGACAAACACAGTATATGCACCTATGTATAAGTGTGCGTCATTGTAAAACAAGTTAACTTCTATTCATAATCAGAAGAATCAGAATCAGAAACAGGTTTATTACCAGGTACACGTACGAGGAATTTGACTTGGTGTCGTGGTGCATAAAAACAAGAATTAAAAACACAAATAGAGAACTAGAAAAATATAAAAAATAATTAAATATATAGTAAAATATAACAGTATTTACATTGCAATGGAATGGAATAGAAGGAATACAAAATGGAATAAAAATCAGCAGTAATACAAAATATTGTTGTGCATTGTGTGCATTAATGTAATGCATATTCGGGTATGTTATGGTTTCATTCCTTTTTAATTCAACAGATCAGGTTTCATTCAGTGAGTGATATGAAGTGATTGGTACCGCTGTTTAGCTTACATAGTCATACCTTAAAAAAGTGAACGATTGATTATGTGAGAAAGCAAGATTAGCTCTTATCCTTTGAAAAGACAAATCAGATGTTTCTAAAGATGGGGGGCTTAGCTCTTCACATCAGAGACTCTTGACCTCTAGAGAACCTTAAGAGTCGCATCGAGCCTCAGTCTTTGCTCAGTTCCTGCTTTAGCCTCTTGGTCTTTGGACCCTCTTTGGTTGCAGTCCCCTGGTTTCGAAGCACCATACTTGTACTTTACTTGAGTATTTCCATTTTATGCTACTTTGTTCTTCTGCACCACTACATTTCAGAGGTAAATGGGGTACTACTCCACTACATGTATTTAATACCTTTAGTGACTTTACAGATGTGGATGAATGATGTGAAATATAATCAAGTGTTAAATCAGACTTTAGTTCCACCTGGAGTAAATTCTCAAGCTACCCTGCAGTATACAAAGTCATTCAAACTAGCTGCACCTTTACCAGCTTTGAGAACACTTTCATGATCAATCATTATAAAACATATCATATATATTATTCTGAAATGGACCAATCTGCACAATGACTACTTTTACTGTCGCTACTTTAACTATATTTTGATTAAAATGCTTTTCTATTTTTACTTAAGTAAATTAATGCAGGACTTTTACTGTAACAGAGTATTCCTACACTCTGGTACTTTTACTCAAGTACAAGATCTGAGTACTTCTCCCACCACCAAAGTATTACTGCAAACGTGCTGAAGTCTGGTCTCTGAATTGACAGAGGCGTTGAGGAAGGACACTCTGAATTGACTGTCAGAATCAGAAATACTTTAGTTTCAGGGGGAAACTGTTTTTTGTGAAAGTAGTTCCATTTTTTAATACAATTAACTAAAAATATATAAACATAAGAAGTACAAATGTGCAACAGAAGATAAAATAAGATATAAAAACATTCAAATGTAAGGACAAAAGTTTTATTTTAAACAATTATTTCATAATGATAAAAGTTGTTGTATTGTTTGAGTTGTTTATTTGTACATATGTTAATTGTTTTACTGCTGAGTGAAATGAATTTAATAGGGTTATTTAGAGAAAAATACTGTATTTTTGGGGAAACTGCTGGATTCTGTATTTAAATAGTTATATTATCTTCTTCCTGATATGTAAACACAGTATAGATCCACCTTTTTGGGATGAAGATGAAAAAAAAACACACTTGTCTGCAACCTGCTGTCCACAAACATCCCTCCAATCCTTCTCCCTGTAATACAAATAGACATCAAGCTGAACCAATCACACTCCACCATCTCCCCGATCTCCACCAATCAGGGAGCGTTTAGGCTTAAGTGGGCGGGAACACCACAGAAGCGACTGGCAGGGTCAGCAGCCATTGATGCGCTTTATCTCCAGGAGGACATATCGACATTAATTCTTGTTAATTTGCTGTTTTCTGCGGACAGGAGCCATGGTGTCTCACTCTCTCGCGCTGCCGATGATCTGCTTCACCACGTTATGGGCGCTCGTGGGGATCGTGGCTCCGTTTCTGGTACCCAAAGGACCGAACCGGGGGTAGGTGGTCGAGCGGCCGTTCATTTGCTGCAATTAACACCGACTAATAATGAGCGGTTTCTTTCATTCTATACACACACATTTCATTTCAGATATTATGAGTTTTGATACGGATTTCAAATCAATGTTTACTTTGCATTAAGCTGCATGGCATCTCTATAAATACGTATGTGATGGAGGCCCTGCGCGTCATCCTGCATCCCACCATCCTCTCCTTCCACACAGTAAGGTTAAAGGGTCAATTCAGGGATAAATAAGCATCAAAACATCATTTAGGGGGAAATATTAAAAGAAAAATGTGGTATTGCTGGGGTTTAATGTTGAACAAGTCAGTATTGTGAGGCTTGGTATATGTGTAAATAACAGTGAGGCTGAAGCTAGTACCGGTTCACAGGCTATATGCAATCAAGCTAAGTGCTTTCTGTTCATTAAAACATCAGAAATGCTTCAACAGTACTCAAGTATTTGATTTGATTTGATTTATTTCGAATGTGTAAAACAATAATGCAAAAACATAATAATAATAATTAAATGAAACATGAGGATTATTGTACTATACAAACTAAAGCAGTGTCAAATTGATAAACAAAAATATTACTGACTTACAAATGATATATAAACAAATGAACTACCTACAGTAATTACACATCCGAAAAGTAGACACATGATATAATGATACATATATTCTTCTGTAAGCATTTCTGTTTTTAACACACCAAGTGACATGTATACATATTTTACCTAACTTTATTTATCTAGACACCCTTTGCATTATTTAATTACACATTGGAAGAGAGGAAGGTGTGATATGGATGCATGCCATGGGGATTTTCTCTTTAATTGCACTTTAATAATAACTGTTTATAATGATGACACTAACCATTAACATGTATTCAGTCCTGGAATTATCTTCATGTGTTTTGTTGCATTTTATATATTTTAATTTTCACTGCACCTGCTAAATGTTTTGTTAAAAAAAAATCATATTTGATTTAAAAAAAGGTGTGTTTTAAGTTTTAAAAGGCTTGAATGTAAAACACTTTAGTGAACTTCTTAATCACCCATTAACTGTCAGTTTGTAAGGTACCTGAAAGCATCATCACATTAACAGTGAGAGTCACATGAGTGTGCACAGAGCTGCAGATATGTAACCCCCCCTCTCTGTTTTCTTTGCAGTGTGATTGTCACCAGTCTCATCCTCACAGCCGTCTGCTGTTACCTGTTGTAAGTAAACACTCTTCTTCTTCTATGGTGTGAAGTGGCTGTCATTTTGCATGTTGCACGAGACTCTGCTATATTCACATACAGCTCTGATTACAATGAAACCTTAAAGAGGCCCTGTTCTGCTTTAAAGTAGAGACACTACATACTGATATACACCTGAACATCAGCAGGAGAGGACTCTTTAAAGTAGAGACACTACCTACTAATATACACCTGAACATCAGCAGGAGAGGACTCTTTAAAGTAGAGACACTACATACTGATATACACCTGAACATCAGCAGGAGAGGACTCTTTAAAGTAGAGACACTACATACTGATATACACCTGAACATCAGCAGGAGAGGACTCTTTAAAGTAGAGACACTACATACTGATATGAACCTGAACATCAGCAGGAGAGGACTCTTTAAAGTAGAGACACTACATACTGATATACACCTGAACATCAGCAGGAGAGGACTCTTTAAAGTAGAGACACTACATACTGATATACACCTGAACATCAGCAGGAGAGGACTCTTTAAAGTAGAGACACTACATACTGATATACACCTGAGCATCAGCAGGAGAGGACTCTTTAAAGTAGAGACACTAAATACTGATATACACCTGAACATCAGCAGGAGAGGACTCTTTAAAGTAGAGACACTAAATACTGATATGAACCTGAACATCAGCAGGAGAGGACTCTTTAAAGTAGAGACACTAAATACTGATATACACCTGAACATCAGCAGGAGAGGACTCTTTAAAGTAGAGACACTACATACTGATATACACCTGAACATCAGCAGGAGAGGACTCTTTAAAGTAGAGACACTACATACTGATATACACCTGAACATCAGCAGGAGAGGACTCTTTAAAGTAGAGACACTACATACTGATATACACCTGAACATCAGCAGGAGAGGACTCTTTAAAGTAGAGACACTACATACTGATATACACCTGAACATCAGCAGGAGAGGACTCTTTAAAGTAGAGACATTAAATACTGATATACACCTGAACATCAGCAGGAGAGGACTCTTTAAAGTAGAGACACTAAATACTGATATGAACCTGAACATCAGCAGGAGAGGACTCTTTAAAGTAGAGACACTAAATACTGATATACACCTGAACATCAGCAGGAGAGGACTCTTTAAAGTAGAGACACTACATACTGATATACACCTGAACATCAGCAGGAGAGGACTCTTTAAAGTAGAGACACTACATACTGATATACACCTGAACATCAGCAGGAGAGGACTCTTTAAAGTAGAGACACTACATACTGATATACACCTGAACATCAGCAGGAGAGGACTCTTTAAAGTAGAGACACTACATACTGATATACACCTGAACATCAGCAGGAGAGGACTCTTTAAAGTAGAGACATTAAATACTGATATACACCTGAACATCAGCAGGAGAGGACTCTTTAAAGTAGAGACACTAAATACTGATATGAACCTGAACATCAGCAGGAGAGGACTCTTTAAAGTAGAGACACTAAATACTGATATACACCTGAACATCAGCAGGAGAGGACTCTTTAAAGTAGAGACACTACATACTGATATACACCTGAACATCAGCAGGAGAGGACTCTTTAAAGTAGAGACACTAAATACTGATATACACCTGAACATCAGCAGGAGAGGACTCTTTAAAGTAGAGACACCAAATACTGATATGAACCTGATAATGAGCAGAATATGTCTTCTTTAATACATTTCACATGATAAGTGTTTCCTCTAGCTTAACCTCTATAAATGGCCAGGGAGTGACTAATGGCAGTTTTTTTCCCAGCTCTTTTTATTAATATAGCTGTCAGCGTAGAGTAGTCCCACTCTGCTTCAGTCAATTTCTAAAAGTATTCCGCTCTTGAAGTTTGACATTTGTGTGCATGTAGCTATGCCTGATGGGAGGTGAAGATCAACAAAAGCAGGGCAATTGACATTTAACAACCATGAAAAATGTCATGATGACCTCTGGAAATTCTCGCAATGGTTTTCTTGCTGGAGAACATGTTGCTGGGAGACCCGAGCAATTCAAAGCAATGGCCAATGATTTGCAAGAATTCAAACAGGGCATACAGCCTGTGTCAAGTGGATCCTACAAGGACAATCTAATAACCTGAAAGACGATATTCATCTCAAGGCCAGCAGCATTACTGCTCCTAATGAAACAACCTGCAGGAGAACGAGATGGATCTTGACAGCAAATGCAAGATAAAGGTTATATTTATTGGCTATTAGGGGATACAATTTGGCATTATTGCTGATTGTGTGGTGGAAAAAAAACAAACATCTCAAAACCTGGTGACACAACACTGATGTCTATCTCCAGGATATTCTGCGGTTTTACATTGAAGAGTTCCTAAAACGGTCTGGGAAAAGGTCTAAACCAATTACCTTTTTTTACAACTATTGCCATGCAGATGATATGATGAATGATGAAGATAGTGCTCGGAGCAGGAAGTAGGAGGAGGTGCGTGCAGGAGTATCACTCTGCCACTAGAGGGCGGTGTAGTCCTTTACCATCAGAGTGGATAAACAAAAGTAGATTTCCTTACATTAAAGGTAGGGTAGGTAAGAATGGAGGAACCAGCTCGAGTGCGCTAGAATTTGAAAATACACAACCGGAAAAATCTGCCCCTTCCTTCAGACTTCCTTACAGAGCCCCTCCTCCAACACACACGAACACACACATGACCAATGAGGGCACGAGATAAGTTTGTGCATGAGATGGAAAGCTGACAGGCAGGTAGGCCATCCAGTTATTTTAGCCGGGCCGGCTCAGATGATTGGTCGTGCTTTTTACAGTACTACGGCTTCCACAGATGACAGTTTTTGTATGTATTTATTGTCAAAGCATTTAATGTATTCATTGCTATCGGGATGTTAAGAGCATTCCATGGAATATAACAACAAGTGTTTCTGAAGTGAATTACCTACCCCACCTTTAAGTCAACAAAGGTCTTAGGTTACATTTGGAAATGATGCATGGATGAGTTGGAATAGTTTGATCAGAAGCAGAGTGATAAAGAAGACATTACTTACTCATGAGTAATATTACATAATATTGATCATTCATGTAGCATCTTGAAGACCATCATATATAACATACAGTATGACTTATTTAGAGTGGTGCAGGAAGGAGTCCTAAAACTGGGAAATCAGCATTTTAGCACTTCCTGTTCACTTGTCTCGAAGCTGATATTTTTTTTCAATCTGTTTTAGACTTCTGATTAGATACCAGAAAAAAATAATGTGGTTATTTCAAGCTGAAGAGATGTTAACGTTTTGTTCTACAACATAAAATTCATCAGTAAATACCCAACTGGTGAATTTTAAAATGGCGGTGTCTAAATGAGACTACTAAACATCATCACGCCCAACAGTAGCCACCTTTAGCTTAGCGGTGGTGACGTGAAGTCATGTGACCTTGCTGTAGATTCTTTATAGCCCAACATGAGCTTTTTACTCAAAAAATCACAAAGTAGTGTTAAATGTGGAGATGATCCTGCTGAACAAAACGTGTAAGTATCATAAAGGTGTGCATGCCACAGATCCAATGTTCTGCAATATTCCGAAATCGAATGGGATTTGATGTCGAGGGAACCAGGGAGATGTTAATTTGGGTTGGCCTACATAAATACATCAACACTGCACCACTCTATCGGTGTATTGATTTAAGAGTGACGCAACCCGACCTGAGCTGTAAAATCAAAGAAAGCTGCATTTACCAAAGAAACGGTAAACCCTTCATGTGTTGGAGACCAGTGTGTTAACCATGTCTTTCTCTCTTTGTATGCAGCTGGTTGGTAGCCATCTTGGCTCAGGCTAACCCTCTGTTTGGCCCTCAGCTGAAGAATGAAACTATATGGTACCTGCGCTACTTCTGGGAGTAACATGGTGAGTAATTCAGACACACTGTGAGAGATACAACCTGTGATGAGGGCTAAATCTAAAGCCTGTGTGTGTCACTATAAATACTGATAACTATAGAAAAATAGCCAAAAACAAGCTGTGTTTACATACATAATAATATGTGTTTTTCTGTTATTATCTATATTGTAATTGACTTTGACAGTCAGGTAGTTACTGACTAGTACACTTTCTTCAGATTGTTTGGTAAGAACAAAATAAATAAGAATGTATTGAAGGTAAATCAAATGAATACACCCTCCTTATGCACAACTTAACTCAAGAAAATCTAAATTGTTCTGTGAGTTAGTGGATCTATACATACATTATACAAGTGTGCAAGTTGCATATCTTCTAAGTAAAATTCAACCACAACAATGTAGACATGTAAAGATTAAATACAGTACTATACCTTTTATGATGTCCCTAAAATATGTCCTTCTGAGATATTTACCTGCTCTCACACACTGAACAAGGCTCTCCATAACCAAAGCTAAAAGATAGCCAACAATTTAAAAAACAGAAGCCAGTTCAACAGTGTTTTTATTATGGCTCTGAGAATTCTCAGAAACATATGCAGGTTGACAATTAATGCACATTTATTCTAACTTAACAAAAAAACGTAATCATTCTCCACTAGAAAACTGAATATAATCAACATGAGGCTTTGGATTATAACAAACACATCAACCCACATTGTGCTGGGTTCACCATACTGAATGTAAATGAAACTCTAGAGCACATGTGTCAAACTCAAGGCCCGGGGGCCAAATCAGGCCCGTGGTGGATTTAATTTCGGCCCGAAGGATAATTTCTAATTACTATTAGATCTGGCCCGCCGGTATATTGCACGCACACCTTCACTCCATCCTGAGGGTCTCCTCCGCTCAGAGCCTGAGCCCAAACATTGATGAACTTGCACCGAGATGAGATGCCAAGTATCTGGCTTGAACTAGCATCACAGAGCAGCACACTGAGTTTACATGGATGTTTCCTTCTGCACTTTCTTTCTCACGACAACAGGGCATGTTTGGTTTTTTCTTTGAGGGAAATAGTTTTGTTGAAGCTGTTGTTGGCCTGTGGAAAAATGTAATCATAAGAAATGACTCTGGAAAAGCTGCAGATAGAGCCATAAGAAATGAATGCAACTGATTATTTAATGTTTAATGTTGTTTTTAAAGGCAATCATTTAAGCTTTGTTAGTTCCAGGTTTAATATGTGCAATAAGTTCATTTCAATAAGTTCTGCAATAAACATTGAACCAGTCGACTAGTACCCATTTTTTAATTTTGGCCCACTGTGTATTTGAGTTTGACACCCTGGTCTAGAGTAATAGATCTGATACCGTATGAAAAAGAAAACGAGTGTCCTGATGCTTCTTGCTTTCGTAAAAACTACCCGTAGCAAAAGGAAAATATCAAAAGGAGACAAAATCGTGAGAAGAAGATTTTGTTTTCTGCTGGCTTCTTGTTAGCAAAGGTTTCCCTGAAGGCTGCATACTGTACTCGCCTGTTTGCAATTCAGAAACCTCTCCACTCTTCTCCTCCAGTGAGGAAGAAATGCCTGCACCGAGCAGCCTGCAGTGACTGAAGTCAGCTGAGAGAAAACCAGAGAGAAAAGCGTTTTTATGATTTCTGTAAAGCATGTTTGCTCGGAGCCACTCGTGCTCTTAAATCCTGCAGAACTATTAACTACTGAACACAACATCTTGTTTTGATACTTACAGTCATAGTACTGCTCGTAAGTAATGCTCACATTTGAGGAAATGAAGGAAATACTTCACCCACAAAATAACTATTAACATATCAATTACTCCCCATGTGGTTCCTTTGAATTCTTCTTTCCTCACATGCCTCCACGGTGAACAAAGAATCAAAAAGCATAGAAAGGTTTTCAGCAATTGATTTTAATCGGGGCTGCATTTTATAGCAGAAAAACATCTGCTGCATATCAGGTGATATGCTCTGGACTTCCCAAACACATGTATTTTAGTATTAAAAATATTTAGTATTTTTCCTGAAATCGTTCTTTGTTTTTAACATAACACTTTTGGATGATCTGTTTTCCTACAAAGGATTGAGACTGTTTATTTAGGAGTGTTTTAAGGCAAGGCAAGTTTATTTATACAGCACATTTCAACACAAGGCAATTCAAAGTGCATAAAAGTTACAGTGCAGTGTAAGATGTGAAAAGTTCAATTAAAAGCAGCGGCAAAAAGAAAAGTCTTCAGCCTGGATTTAAAAGTAGTAAGAGTTTAAAGAAGTCCAATTTAGCTTTTTGTGGTTCCCCCTTTCCTGTTGTGTGTAATAAAGGTTTTAGTGCATGTCAATGGTCTGCAAAGGCTAAAATCCCTGTGTTCCCTCCATTGAAAGTAGAAATTAGCACAATATGTCCTCTCTAAATAGTAACGTTTTGTCATGTCAAGTAATGGGTTTCGAGAGTAGTGAGCATATTGTTTATTTGTTTATATATAAGCAATATGCGCACACACACACACACACACACACACACACACACACACACACACACACACATGCAATGGGTTTCGAGAGTAGTGAATAAATACAATTTGGATTATACTGTGAGCCAGTTTGGAGGTTTGTTGTGTTCTGTTGTTAAGCGCGGCCCCAATTCACTTCTATTCTCCTGGGCTTTTCACCCATTTTGTATTCTCCATTCACCCTGGAGCTATTTCAAACATTTAAAGATTTCTTAAAGAATTTGAGGTAAAATGGGGTGAGCAATTGACATCCAAATGTCCTTTTTGTGGCTGCAGCATTCCTTTAAAGGTCCCATGTCATGGCCATTCTACTGATCATAATTCCATTGTTGAGGTCTACTAAAATAAATTCATATTGTGCAATTTTCCAAACTCACATTGGTTTCTCATACAGCATCTCTGTATAGTATGTGTATTCACTCTCTCTCCTAAACGGCTTGTTGGAGCTCCTGCCCCCCCCCTCCCTGTGAGCCCAGTGGCCGTCTGCGAGACAGCGAGAAAGTCCGCGGATTGGTCCAAACTTAACGGCTCCGCGGACGTAACGTCACTATACCCGAAATACGTCACTATACCCAAGAAGTAAACAATGGAAAAAGAGAAATCCCCAACGAGGCGTTCTGGGGCAGCATAGACAGGTATTTTCTGTGTTAGAGTTTTACTCGCTACAGGGTGTACTTTGAGGGTTTGTGACTCTGCAGACCGTTTACATGCAGAAAAACCTTCATAACACACAAGGGGACGGGTAATAACCAGAAAAGCATGACATGGGACCTTTAAGATATATATATTTTGTTCTGATTTATGTTTCCTCTCTGTTCCAGGATCGTGTGTGACGCGTCGCCTCTCATCATTCCTACCCTGTGGTTGGCTGGACTTCATCTCAACATTACCATTAATGTACAGTAACTGGAATTTAAGATTTTGAGTGTGTTAAAACACTTTTTGTTTTAAAACGAGGAGAGTAATCCACTTTGTGACTCCGATACGATGCACGCAGTTTGAAGTTGTGACTTAGTAAATGGAAGGTTTTTGTGAACAAATTTTAAATAAGGAGATATGTGAGTTTTCTTTTTTGTTACTGATAAGAACGATTTCCAGGGAAACACCATCCAATAGGAGTAGATATTAAGCGTCCTTCTCTGAAACGTGCAATCTTTAGTTTTTACTTTGTGTTTGTTTGTGTTTTGATGTCGCCACCATCAGGGAACATGATTTCTGAGTATTCTTATTTATTTGGCCCGCGGACACTGAGGTAAGCGTGATGACCTCAGTGTCCGTGCGGTCGTGTTATATAACTGTTATTATCTGTGATGTAATGGTGTGTGTGTGTGCATGAGTGTATGTATGTATGTACGTGCGTGTGTGTGTGTGTGTGTGTGTGTGTGAAGAATTCATTACTGTGAGTACTTGGACCGCCGCCATGAGAATCTCCCAAAACCATCAAATTGAAGAGCGATTCCCTCCACTTTGGAGCACTTCAGCATTAACCCACCCCCCCCATACACACACACACACACACACACACCGCCCTCATGCTCCACACCGCGGAGGTCCCAGTTGCCATGGTGATCTCATCGCCCAATTCAGTCTCTTTTCCACTCGACCCCTTTTGATGAAATCCTGCCCATTCTCCCCCGGCCTTTGTGCAGATGTCGTGTAGGGACACCTCTTTGCGTTGGAGCTGCTGACAGATTTCTTGATAATATCCACTTTTCTTCAAATCCTTTAATCTTCATTCCCTCCACCTGGAAAATACTTCTCCAATATTTTTTGTTATATTCCGGCATTGACATTTAAGGAGTGACCCCTCCCTCATATCTTTTAAGTAGCGGAGAAGTAGCTGCTTTCAAATGGATTCATATTCGAAACGAAAAAAGTACCGTTAACTCAAGAAAGTGTTTTTTCATTTGCTCTTATCTGCAAAAATCCCGCACCATATCAGTGGTAGATGCTTCTGATTGGCTAATGTTGGATAATGTGCTCAAAGTATGACGTTTAATAGTTATTGGGCTGAATACTTTTTCTACATTTTCCGTGTTTTAAAAAAGTAAGACACCTTGCAGCGGGAAAAAAATGGAAATGTTGGTTTCAAATCCCCAATTAGTATTCATAAGATCAAGACTAATCATTATAATTAATGTACAGCATATGCTCGTACTGTACATGTGTACTCGAATGCATTTGAGTGGGGGTGAAAGTCAGTGTGCATTCACACCAAGTCCCTGGGAAATGAGCGGTGCAGTGATGTGAAATTCAAGGGAAGATGAGGCAAGGCAAGGCAAGGCAATTTTATTTATATAGCACTTTTCAGCATTCAAAGTGCTTTACACATTAAAAGCAAAAGACATTTAAGAACAAATACAGCATAAATACATTATTAAAAAGGCATTTAAAAACAGGCATGAGTCAAACCTTTCTGAATTTGTGCGCCATGAGCAACTTTCTAAGGAAATGTTCCCGCCTCCAACGCTGTCTCCAATTATGATAACAGGTCAATGCTTCACACTACCAAACATCTAGAAACATCAGTTATCCAACCACCGATACCCAATCACACACTAGCCTTTTAGTCTGAAACTTTAACAGATCCCAATAGCTATCTGATGTGTTCAAGATGAGATATTTTGTCGAGTCATGGTAGTTTTGTATTGGACATTGGTGGTTGTTCTTGTGCTTGGCTTAGTTTAAAAAGGTTACCACATTTCTAGTAATGTCTTAAACAAGATGCGAGTATAACACCTGCCTCCTACTGATGCTGTTTGCCAGCCACCACCACAACTACGTCTCCCCTCTCCACTCCCCATTTCTAACCCTCAGATCCTCTACCTCCCCCCTACGACCTTCCTTCACACTAACCCCCCCTCCTCCTCCTCCTCTCTAAAACCACTTTGCTTCAGCCAAAAAGAATCAAAATCAATATACAGCTACTTTTTAGAAAGACCAAATTACGTTGTATCTTTTCCTCCAGCCCTCCTTGGTAGTTGTGGTGGTGCCATGCATATACAAGCGGACATAAAGCCATGTACAGTGAGTTACTCTATTAAAGTGAGGCTTTCCTTGAAGGAATGCTTCTGTTTAGTTTGCAGTCTCAAGTGAACCGGAGCTTGTAAACCAAAGCGGACTCACAAGTAGCTCAGTTGTTGGACAAATTGTTGGTAACCTGCCAAGTTGGAGACGTTGTTTTAGAGTCAATACAGACCTGACACTAGCTCCTGTTACAGTGTTGGGTCCACACCAGGCGAGAGCACAAGAACAAAGAGCTTAATGGTAAATGGACTGCATTTATATAGAGCTCCCTGTGAGCCCTTAAGGCGCTTTTACATATAGAAGTCAGCATTCACCCATTGACACACATTCATACAGACACAGAGGCTGCTTTACAAGAGGCCAACTGCTCATGGCGACGAACATCACGCACGTTAAGTGTCTCTCCCAAGAACACATTGACATACTGACTGCAGGGGTGACCTTATTATTGGCGTACGACCGTCCTCCGCCTCAATATGAGCTTCAATCCAGACTGTGGTTTTGCTCATGGCTTTCAAACTGTTAACTGCCCAATATCAGATGTACCCACAATCCCTTGTGTCTTGGGTTTGTTTCCGAAGTCGGTTTGGATAAAACTCTCCGGTCCCATAATGTAACGTGCTGCGAATAGCTGGCAAACTAACAAAGCCACAAGAAACACAAGCAAGAAACATATTGAATTGCAATATGATCCACCGTGTCCTTTTTTTGGATCTTCATCAGCTTTGGCCATTCTTCCTGTGGTATTAGAGGGAAAGACCATTTTTTAAACATTATGATTGACAAATTAAAATGATGGATGAGGATCCGTACCAAACAATAATTGTATATATTAGTCTGTGCATCAATCCAGACTGTGGTTTTGCTCTTAGTTGGGCTTTCCAACCATTAACTGCCCGCCATGAGATTTACCCACAATCCCTTGTGTTTTGGGTTTGTTTCCAAAGTCGGTTTGCATAACAATCCCAATCCCATAATGCTACATGCTTCAGTTAGCTGGCAAACAAACGGAGCATAATTTGGAAAAAGTAATTGTAGCTATTATTTAGACGTATGTTGCAATTGCGATATGATGATTTATGATCTCATTAGCATTGACTACTCTTCATGGGGTATAAGAGGGAATGACCATTTCTGAAACATGATTGAACAATTAAAAGGATCGTGGTGTGATTTCTCTTAAAGACGATCTGTACCACACAAAGATTTTATTAGGTCTGTAGAATATATTGTGTATGCAGGGATTCATACAATTCATTCAGATATTTTCACATATTTGTCCTTTGGATATGTGAATTGAATGCTGCACTAGTGAATAATGCAATTTCAATTACATTTGTATCGATTGTGTAGCCCTAAGAGCCACATTCTCAGTGTCCGTGAACCAACAAATGGCCGAACAAATTCAACTATAGCAGTGAACCCTCCACATTTTAAATAAACCCCTCCACAACATGCTGAGTGTGAATCGACCTTAAACATGGTTTCATTTTCTTATGTATCTGTTCAGTTATTTGCTTTTTTTAAACCTGTCATGTACTGTACTCCCAAAAAACATGGATGGAGGTGGCGATCGATTTTCTTTTGTGTGTTAAGAGTTGTTACAAAAGTCTGCTAAATAACAGATGTGGTTGAGATGAGATTATATCTGTGACCTTGTATTTATGTGAAGTAAATGCTTCTATGTGAGTGGAATTGTATCTGAAAACACCCAATAAAAAAATATGTCTCACACAAGCGTCTGTTGAAACTTGTGGGTGTGCATGTTGGGAATAACACACACACACATCACACACACATGTAGATGGATTTCAATGGAAACGCCAAAGCTGTTCAACTGGAGGATCTAGATTCTTTCGTCGAAGCAATTCACACATGCTGAAACCTCATACGAACTGAACGTTATCTCACAAGGATACAATAACAACACCATGTTTTCATTCCAAACATTTGGTTTTCTGGAGGTTAATCGTATCATTTAAACTCCTCTGAGTGTTTTATTTGTGCAAAAGAGAAAAATAAATATGATGTGCGTCGACCTTCCTGTTGTATCTGTGCTGATGTTGTTGCACAGCGGGAGAGAAGGGACGATGCTGAAGGACTTCCTGTCAGTTCGGCGGGGTTATGATGGAAATAAAGGACACAATTTTCTCACAATGACACAGGGAGGCACGTATGCATGATTCACACACATCTATTTTAATAATTGTACAAAAAACTTTTGCAACAAAGCCATCAAAATACACGTCTACACAAGGCCCAAATAAACATATATGTCAATTAAAATACTCAAATCCAGGAACATGCTATACAAAGATATTCCCTCAATGAATTTACTTTAAAGGGAAAACTAGGAGCTGGAATCAAAATACTTTTTAAGGTAAGGTACTGGATGTTTGCCTTTTCGAAACGCCTCCATTTGACTCCTTTGTTTACTTCTGTAACTTAGTAACATCACTATGTAACACTCACGCTTCTATTGGCTAGCGCTCTAACACATGTACGTGATGGAAGAGGCGGGACATCTCTAAGCGGTTGACCAATCACAACAGAGCCTGCCAGCTAACCAATCAGCATGTAAACAAGTCACAGTAGAGGCACAACATACAAATATGATTTTGTAAATGAGATTAACAGGGCCCCTTTAAAGCCTAAAAATACTTTGGTGCCAATACAGCTCACAATTTGAGGAGGAAAATCTATAAAATTGTCCGTTTTTAGGACAAAACTAAACAATGATTATTCTAGAATTGCATTGAGGCAAAACATAGTCAAAATCTGAATTTAAAACCATCATATAACTCAAGGCCTTCACTTAAACAATGTGTTACAGTTCAATTATGAACTGAGCTGCATGCATTTCATATAAAAAAACGTTTAAAGTACGGGATCATTTGATCAGGATCACGACACGAAGGATCCAAAGTTTCGTGCTCTTGATAAATATAATAATAAATAATAACAAAGTATTCCACTGTGTTTTCTGATGGATGAAAAATATTTTTTGTTGTCCACAGCTGACCTTAAATGGACAGGACTTCTTTCTGTCAATTAATATAACTGCACATAGTCCCTTGATCCTCCTTAGCAACAGTCTGTTCTCCTTAGCAACGGTCTGTTAGCGAAAATGAACAACCTATCAGAAATGGGTATTAAACTAAGGCATGTAATAATATTAAAACTGCAATCAGAACTCCATTTCACATTTTAACAGACGTATATGTGATATAGATGGGTATAGTGATAATTTACTGGTATATTATTGATGCAATGTTTTTAAATTGCAGACCGAGCAGCAACTTCTGGTGATAAAAAATGAACCAAAAAACTGGCTCCAGAAATCCCGATAAACCCTGAGGTTAATGGCACAACATGTTAAATGTGAACCTGCAGGCTGGATTATTATTATTTTTATTGAAAAATGCTCTCATTTCATTACCACCTATAGGCCAGCATCAATCCATAATTAACAGCTTCAGATAAATGAGTGGAGGTGCAGCACTGTTTTCTCATTAGGGATGCAGATTAATGAGTAAACAGCCCATAAAATCTACATGACATTACAAAATCAGCAGCGATTTGAGACTGTGTGATGTGTTTCACAACCGAAAATAGATAAAGGAGAGAGGACAATATTATATTCACTCTCCTTCCTACTAAGAATATGGTATTGTCCTTTAATTATGATTTATCCAAGCACTGGCCTACATTTCTGTTGAATGCTAAACATTGTTTCACAGCCTATAGGCCTACACGTATGGGCTTAAACGTGCAGATGGATAAACACGCCGCAGCTTATCGTCTGTAATGTTCATAAATTGTGGCTTAATGCGCCATGACAACCTACTTTTTTGGATTAAACAATCCTTATGTAAACAGCTATACGAGCTGGCCTCAATAACAGGGGCTCCTCTATAGATGTCTGTTTATATTCATCACAAGGGAGCAGCTGCTTAATTCTAATCTAATACTTTAATTCTGTAAAATAGAGCATGACAGAGGCAGGATTTCTAAGGCTGATACAGATTTTTATATTTCATTGTATATAACAAATACATAACATGAACATTTATGATTAGAAACCCTTAAATGTAGCTTTTAAAGCACCCAAAAAGCATGAAGGTAAATATAACATCAATGGAAATAAACTGATTATGAAGGAGTGAGAACAAGCCACATCTCAGTGATGCAAAAATCATATACAAATATCCCATAATGTCCCAGAAAGTAGTCACAATCATTATATTTTCCACTACTTTCCTTCATACGTTTTCCTATTAGCCTTTGACAACTGTAAACAATGTCAGCAAAAGAAAAATATAAATTAAAGTAGATGTATGTTTACAGCTAATGTTCAGTTTCTGTTGTGAAGAGCTGATAATTGACCTTAATTCAAACTATAGCTTGTTGTACTGTCGAATAATTCTGTTTAACTTAATAAAATAACGCTTTATTCTTTACTTTAATCCATGAAAAAGTGAACTACAAAGCAGTGAGTTTAAACCATAGGATTTAAACACGTTAAAGTGGGGGCTGTTGAGTTAAGGTTAACCCGCTTTTGAGGCCTCCTGCCCGGCCGTTCTGCTCCGTATATATGTCGGTAAGGAGGTGAAGTGTTTCCAGTGGGGTTCTGCTCTGAAGCAGCCCGGGGAAAGGCTGAGGTCAGCGGGTTCACAGCTCCATTCTCCCCGGTGTCCTTAAAACACGGGTCGTGTGACCACGCCCCTGTGACGCGGCGTGACGTCACACACACCGTGTTCGTTTTCCCGGACTGAAAATCTGGGTCAAACTGCAAGCAGTGAGACAGCACCAGACCGGAAGTACGGTAGTAGGATTTCCAAAATAATAAGATTCAGGTTTATAGTCAAGTAAATTACTGATTTACTGAATGAAGATATGAAAATGTAGGAATATGTTTTCAAATTTTGTATGTATTGTATGCATTTTGTTGTAAGTATCCCACAAGTTGCCATTTATTATCCCTATTAGCCCACTAGGCTACCAGTATATGTTTGCATGCACATGATAATCAGATATTTGTTTTTACCATATATCTTATGGTCTTAATCTTAAGATTTATCGAGTTAGGGTAGGTCGTTTTGGCTTTACGGTTTGGATAGTGTTATGACCTGGCTCAAAAGGCCACAACAAAGAGGAGACACACCATATCAACGGTTAATAAAATATGTTTATTTAAGCAAGTAATTCAAATTAACCAAACCTGCCAAAGACAATGATGGTGAACTTCTACACCTCCATCATCGAGTCCATCCTCACCTCCTCCATCACCATCTGGTACGTTGCAGCCACAGATAAGGGCAGGCTGCAGCGGGTCATCCGCTCTGCAGAGAAGGTGATCGGCTGTAATCTGCCATCCCTCCACGACCTGCAGGCCTCCAGAACCCTGAGGCGGGCAGGGAAGATAGTGGCCGACCCCTCCCACCCTGGACACAAACTGTTCACCCCCCTCCCCTCTGGCAGGAGGCTGCGCTCCATCAGGACCAAAACCTCTCGCCACCTGAACAGTTTCTTCCCCTCCGCTATACCGGCCTCTTAAACATGGCCCGGCCCCCCCACTGACACAACGTAGACTCTATATGCATTACATTAATGCACACAATGTTCAAATACTGCTTACTGCACATATTATTACTTCATATTTTATATTCTATAACTCTCCTATACTCAACTCCTATAATTCTTTGTTTTATATTTTATGTATGCACCACGACATCAAGTCAATGTCCTCGTATGTGTGAACCTACCTGGCAATAAACCCGTTTCTGAATCTGATTCTGAGTCTGAAGTGCAAAGTGAGTAAAGCATGAGGTGTGGACGTCAGTGGTATCAGTAGTGTAAATGCAGGGTGAAGTTTGCATGGACGTGTGAGGGTGTTGAGGTGCACAAAGTAAAGCAACTGAAGTAACTAATAGCATATTCAACAGAACTTTCTGGTCAGAATATTTTATGTAACATTTATTTAAAATAAGATTATTTTCTTCTCAACCTCTAACACAGTCATACAAATTCAAGAGATTTCCATAAAACAAGGCTCATCCAATACCTATAAAATAGCAATACCTATACTTATTTTTAAACTCAGGGGTGTCAAACTCAAATACACAGTGGGCCAAAATTAAAAAATGGGCACTAGTCGAGGGCCGAACTAGTTCAATGTTTATTGCAAAACTTATTGAAATGAACTTATTGCACATACTAAACCTGGAACTAACAAAGCTTAAATTATTGCCTATAACAATTAAACATTAAACATTAAATAATCAATTCAAAAAAACTATTTCCCTCAAAGAAAAAAACAAACATGCCCAGTACTGAATGTATGTAAGTCGCTTTGGATAAAAGCGTCTAACAAATGACATGTAATGTAAAAAATGTAATGTTGTCGCAAGAAAAAAAGTGCAGAAGGAAACATCCATTGAAACTCAGGTTGCTGCTCTGTGATGCTAGCTCAAGCCAGATACTTGGCATCTCATCTTGGGTGCAAGTATCTGGCTTGAACGATGATCAATGATTTGGCCTCCGGGCCTTGAGTTTGACATGTGTGCTTTAGGGGTTGATATATAAACTAGGGCTGTCAAGTTAACGCGTTAATAACGCGTTAACGCAAAAAAAAATTAACGCCACTAATTATTTTAACGCGATTAACGCATGTGTATTTTTTGTCCTCGGCCGCCCCGTAGTTTCAGAGCGCATCGAGTTTAAAATACCATCGACAAGCTGATGCTGACAGCCCCGCTCCTGCCGCCCGCTTGTGGCAGACCACACTTCCACGCTCACCGGCAGGCCCGGACAGGCCATCGGGAGGACCGGGAGGGTGTGTATGTGTGGGGCGACTCGCGCGAGCGAGGCACACCTTACGTGTTGTTGTTGTTAGCATCTGGTGCTAGCTAGCTGCGCTAACGGATATAAGGAGCTGTTTCAATGACATTTCGCCGACAACTGCGCCGAGCACTTGACTTTATGCAGGTAGCCAGACAGTGGGACATTGTACGAAAAGTCAGCACACTCAGCACGGATAGTACGCGCAACATGATTGCAGCTCCCGTTCGAGCATATATGCCTTGAGCTGCACATACTGTAGCTCCAACGATCCATCACAGTGTCTCCACACACACACACACACACACACACACACACACACACACACACACACACACACACACACACACACACACACACACACACACACACACACACACACACACACACACACACACACACACACACACACACACACACACACACACACACACACAAGGTTCCAGGTTGAATTGAGGCGAATATTTGTAATGTTCAGAGGTTGTTGTGTTTAATATTCATGAGAATATTTGTCATTGTTCAAATGATAATAAACAAACATATTAAGCATATTTGTCCACTCATATGTTGATAAGAGTATTAAAAACTTGAAAAATATCCCTCTAAGGTACATTTAGAACAGATACAAAATGTGCGATTAATTTGCGATTAATCGCGATTAACTATGGACAATCATGTGATTAATCGCGATTAAATATTTTAATCGACTGACAGCCCTAATATAAACATTGAATGACCAATAAAGATTAAATAATGTGCAAGAGAATAAATATATTTACATAAAAAGTTAATTTAAGAAAATAAGAAAAGAAAATTGAATAAAATATATATATATTTGTATTAGGTTGAAGTAAGAATGTGCAATCAAGAGATGCAATTACAAAATAATACAGATAATTGTTTTAACTTAAAGGTCACCTATCATGCTATTTTTAGGCAATAGCATAGGTCTCAGATATATATAAAAATATAAAAAACACGTCTATGAAGTGTTTTGCTCAAAATACCAAACAGATCACCCATTCTAGCCATGCCTCATATCCCTCTATTTCATTTCCTGTTTCTAAAGTGCTGATTTGGGGTATAAAGCTTTAAAAAATAAAAAGATTGATACAAAATAAAAAAGGAGGGGGCTGAGCTCATGCGGGACCCGGCAGCTACTGTCTAAGCCAGCCGTTTAGACAGTAGCCCCCCCAGGGAGGCGCGCCTCCCTGGGGGGGCTACTGGCGCCAGAGAGCTTCAGGGGAGGCGCAGCGTGAGAACAAAATAACGAGAAAAAGATGAGTAAAGTGTCACTTGGTTGATGCGGTGCAGATGTTAGGATTATGCGCGGTCCCGCGGGGGAGAGGTCTGAGGAATCTTTAAACATTAAATAAAATTATTATTATTTAAATATATTTATTATGAAACACCCGTGACCCGACCCGCATCTTCTTTGTTTTACCCAGAACCGAACCCGGAAAAAAATGTTTGAAAAAATACCACCCGTGAATCACTTTTTTTGCGGGTCACCCGTCGGGTAGGCCTACCCGACCCGATGCAGGACTCGGATCCCCGCATCATCCGCCTGTGCGCATCGAAGACGCAGACTCATCGTTCCCACTATAGGGGTGAGTGTAATAAGGAGGCAAAGTTGACGTTCAGTGTGTTGCCGGGAGCATATAAGGATGTATCCACAATGTTCAAAATGTAAAAAATGTTTTAAACAAATGTTTAGAACATGAAGATAAAAAGGTTTAATGTTTTAAGGAGGTGACGCTACTCAGCCAATCAAATCGGTGCAGTCAGTGAGCACGATACATTCAAACACGAGACAAGAAGAGAGAAACAGCAGTGAGCAATTTCAAATGGCTGCTCAAAAAAGAGAAAGGTAGATAGCGAAAACAGAGCATTTAATGACATTTTCTCTTATTGGACCTCTTTGAAAAGCAATTGAATGCCCCTGCATTATAGCAACAACAACAATAATAATAATAATAATAATAATAATAGCAGTAATAATTGGGAGGGGGGGCGCGGCTGTTCTTATGTTCTCTGAGGGGAGGCTCACCTTCCCACACTTTGAAAACCCCTGGTCTAAACTAAATACTGCCGTGATGAAACGCCATATCATGGATTATCAAGGATTATTTCTGAAACAGTATGGAGCTCAAAGGCTTTCTCTCTTGCCGGTTATACCACAAGGTGAGTTCCTTTTGATTTCCTGCTTCTTCACACACATGCTCTCCAGTACAGGTTAGCTCTGAGTGTTAGCAATGCTAATGTAAACACCGACCATATTACGTCCAAAACAGTCGGGCATTGTTTCTGATAGCAACGTTCTGATAGGGCCGTGGGTCCACATTTCAGATATTACGTCATATCGGACGCAAATCTGGATCAGCTCCGTTGTAGCCCCGTTTTTAGAGATTTGGGTACGGAGGAAAAGAGAGAGGGTTTTATTTTCTGACGCTGCGTGAGTTCCCTGACACACCGGGGACACATATTTATGTATAAAGACATCAGAAAGTGCATTTTGATGATAGGTCCCCTTTAAGTAAAACATTCAAAAAAAGATAAAATACAATAAAAAAATATATTTTAATTAATCAAATTCAAAATAAATAGGACAAATATATTTATATAAACACAAGTTAAAGAAACAATTTCCAATAAAGATAAAACAAAACAGAATACAAATGTTGATATAAACTAGAATTGAATAACAAAATTGCACCATAATCGACGATTCGACCCTTATTTTGAAATCCCACTGCCAGAAGTCTTTTACGCTACTCTCTCGAGATTGACGGTTCGTCTACGGGATTATTCGTGAACTCAAGTGCCCCCCAATCCACCGATGAGAGCTGAAACTGTTTTTACAGCTGACACACTTTCCCTTTCGATAAGGTCAGTCACTTACAACTGCTTTCTGTACATTTAACCACCTCTGAACCCTACCACGCGCTGCTAAAAAGTGCGCAAACAACAACAACCACACTGCTGCTCCACCACCACCACCACAACAACAACAAAGAGCACGCAAAGGCTGTGCAACTCAGCCTCTACCTCTCTCAGAATACATGTGGAGAGAAAGGGTGTGTGTTATTGGATGTCAAACACACATGTATAGAACTTTTATTATAAAGGGAATTAGATTCATGAGTGCTTTTATTCTCTCATCTCCACATCGGTAGGCCAATGGTGGGGAGGCAGGGAGAGAGAGAGAGAGAGAGAGAGAGAGAGAGAGAGAGAGAGAGAGAGAGAGGGGGGGGGGGGGAGGTGGTGAAGCAGGCAAAGTGGGGTGGGGGGGATGTTGAACAGTCCTACAACCATCTTTACTGTCCCGTTTATCCGCCATATAGCATCTAGCGACTCCCGTGGACTAACTTCCTGCATGTGGCCGTCGCTGCGCCGGGGATCCTGAGACTGTCCAATGCGCGCCTGTCCGTGGATGGTGCGTAATAATCATCTGGAGAGGCCGAGGCCGACATTTTACCCCGGTCCGGAGGAGCCTTAACTCCGAAGGGGACATCCGAGGACACGCTATAGGGTAAATCTCCCTGCCTTCGCTTTACTGCGTATCATACACGCGTGATATGCGCATTTACATCAAGTTTAACGAGTTGTTGACGCATATTTGACAACACAGAGAGGGAAGATATGTGCTTTTAATGGTGTTCTATGATAAAAATGGCTACTTTCACTTGGATTTACACAATGTAGCATGCTTGGCACACTTGATTTTGGAGGATTTTTTTATAGGATTGTTTCGAAACATTGTCACAGGAAGCACAACATATGTAACAACGCCAATTTAAATGTTTAAATAGACATTATTACGATATATGTGTACTTAAAATGCAGTTTGAGTGTATTTACACATTTGTTACGCAGTTAAAATAGCTCACTGTGTGTTGTTTTCACGCAACTGAACATTTTTTATGGTATTTACCCCACATTTTAAAGCGGTAATAACTTGCCTGGGCCTGCATCGTTTCCCCCACCGATCGGCAGCAGCACCTGCAGGAGGACAAACAGCATCCAAACTTGTTGTGTGATTTATTCCTCACGTCAACTTTAATATTTAACCAAAGTCCGAGTGTATGTGTGTGTGGCTGGAAAACTGACTTTTTACACCTGCATGAGGCTGGCCCTGTTAACGCCGATCCACATGCTCAGAAATCGGCCGTATTAACAATTAATATTGGACATCCGGTGGCACTGCCAGCTGCGCCCCATTTTTATTGTTGTCTTGCGCTGAGAGGAGCCCTGTTGTCTCTGCTGGAGACTCCGCGACGCGTGGTGGCTGCTTTTTGGGGTAGGGATTGCAATTTAATCTGTATTTAAAACATGCATGGATTGTGGTTGTTGCTGTGTGGGAAAAGAAAGCTGGATGTGGAAGCGCGGCTCCTCTCGCCGTGCCATGCGGGGCACATGCACTGCTGGCTGCCACCATGGCACCTTCTCTCTCCGGCTCTCTTTATGTGCTGCTGCTGCTGTTGTATCCAGCTGTGCGGACACACTACACCGTTTAACCCCCATCAGATGCACCGATCGGGGGGGATACACAGTGGTGTTTTTAGTCCGGGGGACGCGCACCGGATGGCAGCGAGGCGAGGATAGGGGGCTGCAGACCGGGCCACTTTGGCTTCGTTATACGGGAAAAGGAGCTCCAAGGACACGGGGAGGAGAGACAGGGGGCGCATCCAGGTCGTTTGGGGTTATTTGTCTCCTTTGCTGTGATTTATAATACAAGATAAGGGGAGATTTCATAAGCGTCACGGAGAGCTTTGGCCGATTTTGGGATGTTTAATTTGACAAATTGGCCTCCCAGACAGACCGATAGCCACCGTCTCACCCCCCCTTTGCTCCCCCGTCTACCCTTCTCTGTTTTCGGGCACTCTCTCCGCCATCACAGCCTCTCTTTGGTTCTTCCCCATTTACTTTTTTCTCAACCTCTTTTCTCGTCTCTCCGTGCGTAACCTGCATCCATCCGTAACTGAGCTGTCCTCTGTCACACTGGAGGTGCTTTTTGTTTTTTTTAAAGAGGCCTCCAGCTGTTAAAGGTTCATTGTCTGGTCACACTGCTTAGTCAGCCTGACCTGCTTCCTCTCTGATGCGTTAGCCACATGTTTGGATGAGAGGGATTTTGCGTAATCTATAAAACCTTTTATTATGAAACTTACTATATATATATATATCACTAAGAGGAAGTACCATATGTGATTAATACATTCCTCAAAGTACTGACATTTTATTAAAACTAGAATCAAATGAATACGTGATAAAGTAATCAACTGACTTTTATAAATGTGTTCCCTACAGGGTAGAACATATCATAGAGTAATTTTTTTTTTAAACCAACAAACACATTTACAACCCAGGTAATATATATGAGAGATTAAATGATTAGTCAATTGACGGAAAGTAAATCTGCTTATCATTTTCACAATTGATTAATTCTTCAAGTAATTATTTCATGAAAAAATGCTAAAAATGTGTTCTTTCAGCTTCTTAGTTGTGAGGATTCACACCCTTTCCCCTTTATTTCTTCTTATATCATATAGTAAATGGAATATGCTTTGATTTTAGACTGTCAGTCTGTTAGTTGTACACAAATAACAATTTAAAGTAATCATAGGAATTTAGTAGGGTACATATTTGCTGTAATATGCATTCATTGTAATACCCTGCTCTGTGTTGCATAACAAGTTGCTGCAGGGACAGAGGGTCCAGACATTGTTCATAATAAGTGCCTTATTGATAAACCACAAGGGTCAAATGTTAGTGTTAGTGTATAAAATGGGATTTTACAATCTACCTGTATGATTGAGATAATTGATAATAAATCATTGATATCATGTTGAAAGACACTTATTATGATAGCTAGTGTAACCCTGCTTTCTTCTTCTACAACTATAGTTTCAGACCATCTTCACATCCCTTCACTTGTACTTAGTGTCATATGTTCGCCAAAAAATAGACGAAACGTACACTAAACAAAGTAAAAGATGAATTTGACTGATGGCATTATTGATTTTCTTATATTTTGTATAGATGTTATGATGCTATGAATATCAGATTTTCACTACAGGGCTGCGCAATCAACATTTAATCTAAATCGCAATATGGACTGCTGCAGTATGCAAATCACAGTAAGCGTAGTATTTGTTACAAATATCTGAAATGAATGAATGAATCAAATATTATTCGGCAGACTTAATAAGAAACACTGTTTGGTTCACAGTCTTGTCATGGCCTGGCTCTTGGCCATAACAAAAACGTGGAACGGACACGATATAAGGAAGATATTTATTGTGAACCAAACAACTAAACAAAAGAGCAACCACAATGGGGATGTGTTAATCAGTAAGATCAGTCGTGTGGGTGTGGGTGTGTGAACGTGGTGTAGTGCAAGGTGTTGAATGCCAAACTAAGAGGAAGGGAACGTCAGGTAGCTGCTCTCAAAAACAGATCCTCCAACCGAGAGAGCGAACGAGACTCTGGCTCGAGCCTTTCACTCCTCCGGTACCGGCGGCCAGGTGCCCTCAATCAGCGCTGATAGGGAGAGGAAGGGAGACCGTTAAAGGGCCATGCACACACCACAGGAGAGAATGAGGCAGGGGTCGTCACAGTCTCCTAAAAATCACAGTTTTAATATTATTTAAAAATGGAATCTCAGTGACAATGTGAATAATGTAGAAAATAGCCATTCCCTTTAATATTGTGATTCATATCATTATTGCAATATCAGTGCATATATAGTCTTTCTCCAACCTGCAGCCCTGCACTACCACTATATCATCTTTCCCCAAATTATTCACAATTTCTGAATCTTCGCTGTAAATGACCGAAATCCTTATAAGGACAAGAAGATATTTGCATATATAAAAGTGAAAGTGAATTCAGTCTTGCACTAACAGGAGCACAGGAAACCTCACCACACTGGGAATGTGTTTGTCTTGTCAGTATTTAATTTGCTAGTTGTTACATAAGTCGTGTTGGCATCCACTTTTCCTGCAGAGTCTTGTTTACAGAGAGCTAAATGGATCGCTGTGAGCGTAAGAAGCCGATAGTTGTTGGTGCTTATTGACCCGCAGTGCTTTGAGACGAAGCAATTTCCTTTTTGTCTCCCTGTTGCCATACGGTGAACACTGTGTGTGTTTATGAGACCTTTGGACCCAGGCATATGTTGAACACACAATAAATAATCGCAGGGTTGTTATTGCACGGAAGCTCCTATATGAGCCGGAGTATAAATACAAATCTGTTTGTGTGCATCTGCTTCACCTTGAAGAAACTGCAAATACCTGCAGGTGCACTGTAGTGAGAGTGGAGAAGATAAAAGGAAATGGTGGAGGACGTCATTGAGATGAATGCATGCATGTCTCATTGTTGTTTGCAGGAAAGGACATAACATATAAAGAGAAATGTGGCTCCTTCTCTGACAGAATTATATTATTATTTATCCCCAGAGAGGAAATTCAGCAGCAGCACAACAGACAGGACAAAGAGAACTTATTAATAAATGATTAGAAGCATATAAAGTAAAGGTACACAGTAGCCTACCAAACACTAGTGTTGTGCTGAAACTACATGTTGGGCAAATCATTTACAAGAGTTGAATTTGAATGTGGTCTTTATGAAAAGTGCTTGGGTTTTGTATAAAGGGCTTGCAATTTGAAATGCCTCGCTTGCTGCTGAATGCTGCCACAAATATGCTTTTTTCTCGTGTTAAAAGCACAATAGCATCTGGTTTAATGTGATAAAGAAGTGATATAATCAGTATACTCGATAGAGAAGAATCTATAATACTGTACTGGATATAAATATGTAGGTATTTACCACAGCTGTAAGAAAAGCTTAGAAAAACGACTTTAAAACTGCTTGATTTTTCTCTTTGGTAAAGGTGTACGAACCCTGAATTGGGTTTAAAGCACAATAACATGCGGTTTAATTGGATAAAGAAGTGATATAATCTGTATACAGTAGGATATGTAATACTATAGCTGTTAAGACTTTCTGCCAGGCTGCCATGACCAGGGCTTTAGAGTGTGGCACAACCAGGGACTAACAAAGCTCGGTGATCTGTTTGATGTATATGTCATTTACCACGGCTGTAAAATGCAAGAAAAGCTAACAAAAATCTTTAAAGTGCTTGAAAAAAGTGCTTTAATTTGACTTTGGTAAAGGTGTATGAACCCTGCATGTCATAGCATATGGTTTAATGTGATCAAAAAGTGATATAATCTGTATACATGTAGGATATATTATTCTATAGCTGTTTACTACGTCATTTACCACATCTGGATGGTAGCGGCTTGTGGTGCAGTGGGTTGTGCGTTGGGATCAGGGGGTCACAGGTTCAAACCCCACTGCAGTCAGCATGTCGTTGTGTCCCTGAGACACTTCACCCCAAATTGCTCCTGTGGGGATTGTCCACAGTATTGAGTATGTAAGTCGCTTTGGATAAAAGCGTCTAACAAGTGACATGTAATGTAATATAATGTAATGTAATGTAATGTAATGTAATGGTACTGGAAACGCTTA